GGGTATTTAGTGGTATGTTATTGTGGTATTATTTTTCACATCTTCGATCACAAATGAGGCTCAATGTGTTTTAATATGTTTACTGGCCATTTGAATTTCTTCCTTTGTAAAATGGCAGTTCAAACTTTTACCCATTTTTTATTGGGTTGTCTGCTTTTTTCTTACTAGTTTTTAATAGTCTTTATGTATCCTGAACATGAGTCGTTTGATGGTTATACATGTTACAAATATCTTCTCATATGTTCTAGCTTGTCTTACCTTCTTGTTATGGCTTTGATGAATGTTCATTCTTAATTTTGATATAGTCAAATTGTTTTAGGATTTTTCAATGTTGGTCGGAGATCATCTAAGTGACCTTTAAAGACACTAATTTGTTTCCTTAGCTGAAAGAACCAATATTTAAATGTGCTTGTTGTAAGCCTGAATTACTTTATTGCTGAGAGCTTGGCAGACCTTCTCTTCAAAGAGAATGTCAATGACAGTAACAGTCCCGATGCCATACATTTGAAGAGCACTTTTCTCATTTTCACAATTAGGTCCCCCATACAACTCAGAATTTTTAAGTCATTATGATTCTACTTGGCTCTCCTTCAACAAATAGATCCTGCAGTATATATGATTATCTTGTTTTCTATAATTCCCAACTGTATGCCATCCTGTGCCACCTTATGGTGCTATTATATACACATATGGGGTTCATATGGGCATATGTCTAATCCTCCCAACTGGGCTGAAAGCTCCTTGACATCAGAGGATCTATAAATGCATCTTTGTATCTCCCATGGTGCTTTGTCTCCAATAAGCATCTAGAAAGGTTATAATAATATTCAGGGTCTCTGAATATTTAGCCCTTCAAAAGAAAAGAAAAACTAGTTTCAAAAGACATGAGATGCTTGGATATTATTTTAAGGATTAAATTGATTGTTGTGATGCTAATATTGAATTGATGATTGCTGATTATCCAAAACACTTTTCAACCAATGAGTATTTAACCTGCCCTTTCCACACCTTACTAATGAACAGCTAACTCGACTTCCGCATCCTCATCTATTTTACTGGATGGCCCCTGGTAGAGATGCTGATGGGAGCCCCCAGGGAGCACAGATAATTGAGAATGTGCATAATCTACTTTGTCTTCTTAAATGTCACAAAATTCACTATATATTTATGCTCACTTTATTCTCAGGTAGAAATGAGTCCTCTGGAAAATGCAATTGAAGTGTTAGAAAATAAGAATCAGCAACTGAAGACCCTCATCAGTCAGTGTCAGACAAGACAAATGCAGAATATTAATCCCTTGACCATGTGCCTGAATGGAGTCATAGATGCCGCAGTTAATGGTGGAGTTTCCAGGTACCAAGAGGTGAGGATTAGGTATTGTTGTTTGCTAGAAAGTTTTGTGATTTCATAGGGTTTCATGAATCTTCAAAATATGTACCCATATTGGCATGCAAACATAGAGCTGCAGTTGACACAGAGTACTTTGTTAAATAGAGCAAACATACAATTATTTATGATGCCTACTTACTCCATTTTTCCAACATGTGATAATTTGGGAAAATGTGTGTGTGTGTGTGTGTGTGTGTGTGTGTGTGTTTTGCATGAATAAAAGGGAGATCAGGATTGTTTAATAAATGTCCATCTCAAATAATTTTCCTAAGCAAACAGGTTCATGGACACAGAAAAGTCTAATCTTGTTTAGAAGATACTTTAAGTGGACTTTTCATCTGCCCTCTTAGTTTTAAACAGAAAGACATAATAGCCTGGAAGGTGAGGCCACCATTTAGATCACACTGAATCTTCAGGCAATTTATTTTAGGATACAATGCCACATAGCTTATAGATTGAGTTTGTCCTTTGTTTATTTTACCAAGGGTACTTATTGTACAATTGCTGATCTTCCTTTAACAATCCTTTCCTTCTGTTCCCATTCTGACCAACCACCTACACTAGGAATCACTCCATCTGTCCCTAAATGTGGTTTAGAATGGTGTCATTTCTCTAAAGATGCCACGTCTTTAAAAGCAACAAGTGTGTCTTTCACTTCCCTTGTAACTCTCCTGAAGTTGACTGACTATCCCTTTTCTTATTAGGCATTCTTTGTCAAAGAATATATCTTAAGTCACCCTGAAGATGGGGAGAAAATTGCACGATTAAGAGAGCTGATGCTTGAGCAGGTAAGGAAGGCAGAAGCCAATCACCTTCTCTCTGTCATGCCTGGATATGTGCTCACTTACCCAGAGACCCATCTGCATGGTCTTCTGCATCAGAGGTCTCACTGAAGCTGTTGGTCTAGGGTTATGGATTTCTGTAATATATCCCAACTTGTTAATTTCTACTTTTTCTTCCTACTTGGATGCAAAAATTAACTTAGCAATGATTAGACTATTGTAGCCCATTGAGATTGAGTAACCCTTATCCAAAATTTTTGGGACCAAAAGTGTTTTGGATTTCAGGTTTTTCTGGATTTTGGAATATTTTCACATACATAATGAGATATCTTGGGGATAGGATCCAAGTCTAATAACAGAATTCATTTATGTTTCATGCACATTTTATATACATAGCATGAAGATAATTTTATACAATAATTTTAATAATTTTGTGCATAAAATTTTGACTGTAATTTGTCTACAACCCATCACATGTGATCAGGTGTGGAATTTTTCACTTGTGGCCTCATGGCAGTGCTCAAAAAGTTTTGGATTTTAGAGCATTTTGGATTTTTGGATTAGGGATACTTAACCTGTGTAACAAACAACTGTATGTAGTTTCCTAAATAGTCTTTGAATGTTTTCTCCATAATATTTACTGTAAGCTTGATACTGACTTTTCACTCAAAATTTTGTGTGCAGTTAAGTTCAGGCCAACTCAAAATGTGAGCGCATGGATGAATGATATTGTTACTAACATGTTATAATAAGGAAGTAGTCACTCAATAGACTTTGCTTTAAAATGGTGTCATGTTTTACAGGCTAAGCCTATAAATTATATGATATGGACAGAACGAGACACAACTCATCACTTTCTAGTCCAAAGAAGCATAGTTTATTTTTATTTATTTGGTACCGTCAAGTTCAAAGAACAGGAGTGAGTAATCTGTTGCCTGCTGTGTCCATACTGATAGCTCTTGGCCTGAACATGATTTGAAAACCTCTGAGGTAGGAGACATGGTTGAAGGGCTGAGTTAAATAGGAAATAAAGACATTTTATTCCCATGAAAAGTGGAATATGTATGATAAAATGTGACAAAAGCATCTCTTCCCACTTGATCATACCAAATTAATAAATAAAACATGCTCTCTTGGATTAGAAAATGATGAGGTTGTGTCTGCTTTTAGTCTGTATTTTATAATCTATTGGCTGAGTCCACAAAACCTAATAGTGGGGGCAGAGAGGTGGCCATGCGTGAAGGCCATGGCTGGAGTAGGTTCAGGTATAGCTTCTGGAAAAGAGAGAGGAATTATTGAAGTTGACCTGCAAGGCAACAGTGAGTAAGCCAAGTTCCCAGTGTGACGCCGGGCGTGACATAGATGCTAGAAATGAGCAGTTTAGATAATCCAATACTTGGGATTATGGAATGACATTAACCTTTGTTGATTTTTAAAAATTTGTATTTTCACCCGAACACCGTCTCTTTGCTTCATCCCAGGACTGTATCTGGTGTATTCATCCTGCCTGAATTCTTTCCCCAGAATTAAAATATAGCTCAGAGCCAAAAAGCCTTTCAGGAAATGTAAAATCAGGGAACCTTTATGTCCTCCATGTCCCACCTGATTCTGTTCCTGGGACCTTGTGGGAAGAGTCATGGCTTAGCAAGCGTGAGATCTCTGTCACAGGACAGAGATGCCATACAAGTGACTGTCCTGTGACCTTGGGCAAGTCACTGCATCTCTGTGAGACTGACAAGTGGGGGATTGGACTAGAGAGGGCCCCATCCTTCCCTGGACCTCTGTAAAGTAGCAAATAAACTGTCCAGTGGACACGGAGGTGCTGTGCCCTGATGCTCCCGCCAGGAAGGACCTGTTGCCTCAGCAGCTGGACGTGCGGCCTTCGGTAGACACCTGCAGCTGTGGGGCCCTTCAGGAACCGCCTCAGCTGTAGGTCCCTGCCTCCTCAATGGCTCACATCCAAGACCGAGGGGAAGATAGAAATCCTGGCCACGTGGGCCCAACACAGGACAATTCTGACAGACAGTGACACTCCAGAGGTCCCCGGGGTCTGGCGGAGGCTGACAGGACTGCTGTGCAACTCAGTTGCTTTTTTTTGTCGAGTCCTGCTTCTGCCCCTCCCGGCGACAGGCAGCCAGCCCAAGATAAACCCCAGTAAACACCTTTATCTCCATGCCAGAGTCTACTTCCTGGAGAACCCAACTTGTAACATTCTCTGAACAGAAGGGAGGTCGCCTAAGAGCTAGTGTTTAAAATGGAAAAGACTGGCAGCCCCTACAGTTAGGCTGAAGTCCTGTGTTCCTTCCACCTCCCCATCACAGAGGCCAGACTCTCCCTTGGTGCCTCAGACATACGCTCCACTTTCAAAAGTGTCCTTGATGCGTACTTCGGGTGTTTTTCTCTTTATGCAAACGTTCTGGCAGTGGCTGGACATCCAGAGTGGGAGTTGCCACATCCCTGTCCCTTAGGGAAGGTGCTGGAGGCTCCAGCCCACCAGGGTCAGTCCCGTTTGACCTGAGCTTTCAACCTAGAATCTTCACAAGCTGCAAAGATAAAAGACCTTGTGGTGATGTAGGATTTGTTTTCTTCTCAGCTTGTAGAATTTATGCTTTTGACCACTTTAGCATGGGGATATTTCTACAATGTGAAAGACAGCCACTACTCAAATCAAAGTCACATTTGATGGTTGAACAGAGGAAAGCGGAATGTTTATGTTCATCTCTTTCTGGGTCCTCACAGCAGGAAAACTTTCTGTGAGGACCTGCTCCGTTGTAGCATTATAATACGTGAGCAAAAATAATATTTTTAAACAAAAGCAAGAAGCGTAGCAACTGTTACAGAGTTCCTGTTCATTTTCTCCTTCCTCCCTGACAGATTTTGAAAATTTGTGGAAGGGATAGATGAGCACAGAAGAGCCCAATGGAGGAGAGAAGGGTGACGTGGGAGAGAGGGCGCCATCCAGAGACGAGCAGCTCCTGCCCCCAAGCCCTGCCCTGTCCTGGGAAGGGCAGGAAGAGCCCACAGACATAACTGTTAAGAAGGGCTGTACTGACAGATCTGAAATACATGGGAAAGATGCTTGGGGTAGCAGGAAAACTAAGTCTTTGAAATCAGATCCAAGTTTAAATCCCCATTCATCTTTACACAAGACCTTTCTGATCCTCAGTTTCCTCACCTGTAACATGGCAATTGATCCTACCCTGTCAGATCTGGAGGATTAGTAATAATGCAAACAAAACACATAGTACAGAGCTTGGTCTACAGCAGGCGCTTCGTGAGAGGTGGTCCTTGATGTGGGTTTTCTCCTTATGTTGTGATCCAGGCACAGATTCTGGAATTTGGCTTGGCCGTGCACGAGAAGTTCGTACCTCAGGATATGAGACCCCTTCACAAAAAGCTGGTCGACCAGTTCTTTGTAATGAAGTCGAGCTTAGGGATTCAGGTACGTACACCAAGTGTCCATGGCGGGGCAGTCTGACCATTGCCATTTGCTGCTGCTTAGAGGCACGATGAGGTATCCAATAGTGACATCTTTTGGTTTTTCTACCAAACTGCACCATTTTAGCAGGGAACCCTCAAATATTAAAATTGCATTTTCTGCTATTTGCCACGCTTACCTTTTATGAAAACAAAAGTATAAAGTGAGGGAAGGCTTAATAATACAAAGATTTTATGACAATGAGGATGTGTATTGAGTATACTCAAGTATCTCATGAGTTAATTTGCCGATATCCTTACCATATGGAAATGTTTTCTTTACCACATCTTTAGGAGTTCTCTGCGTGTATACAAGCCAGTCCCGTCCATTTTCCTAATGGCAGCCCTCGTGTATGTAGAAACTCAGCACCTGCTTCTATGAGCCCAGATGGTACCAGGGTAATTCCTAGACGCAGGTAAGTCATATTCCAAATTATCTCACAATTTGGCATTCCCACAAGATGATCTGGAATGATTCTCTCATTCTTTATGGCACAATTTGTCAAATACGCTATTTCTTAATGAAATAATTTACCCGCAAGGCAGCTGCAGACATCTGCCACCGCTAAAACAGCAACAGCATGAGAAATAAATAAACTCAAACATTTGATTATGTTGAAGCAAACAGGAGACAACAAAATGGGATGTACTTTTTTCCCCTTTATCGTTATACCATTCCAGCATGTGATGAAGTGCAATTAGGAGACTGAGTTAACGACCTTTTTTTTTCTCCCCTCTCCCACTCCCCGAACAGCCCATTAAGTTACCCAGCTGTCAACCGATACTCTTCCTCTTCACTGTCCTCACAAGCTTCTGCTGAAGTAAGCAATATTACAGGGCAATCAGAAAGCTCTGATGAAGTCTTTAACATGCAGGTACTTAATGAGCTTTTTGTCTGGTTGTGTTTATTCCTTTTCTGTCTCAATCGTGAGCGTTTCTGTTCATTCTCCTGTGCTAATGGACAGACCTAAGGACAAAGACTTGACGTAAGGACAGACCGTTAAGCGCTCTTACTGCTTTACTGTTCTCTGGAATCTACGAAGATGTTTCTCTCAAAATTGCCCCATCGTTCTAAGAAGGCACGAGCAAGCGATGGAAAAGCTCGGGCCATGCTGGGTCAGCTCCGAGACCTGCCTCCGGTTGCTTTTTCAGTCCAGGACTCTCGGAGCACATCACCACCCGCTAGCGGCCTCTTAGCATTTCTAAATGGCTCTTTAAATTTAATTTTAATGGTTCAAGGGTCTGTTATCACATTCTCTCTCCTTATGTACATGTTGGAAAATTTCTGCAATGAAAGGTTTTTTTTTTTTTTTACGGAAGAAAAAAAATGTAGTTTTTAGGGATTTTAGAGCCAGTATCACTCTTGCAACAAAACATGCTATTTAGAGCTGCTAATACAGCATTTATGATAGTTTAGTAAGACTAAGCTGAAATTTTCCTCACCACTATCTTTGGAAAGGGGGCATAACACGTATTTCCAAATTCATGCTTTGAACACATTTTTTGAAGATATTGAGAGGGCACATTCTATGCCTTTTAGAAGCACTCACCTATTTATGTGCCCGAGGCTGGAAGTCATTCTGCTTCTACTTTAGCAGGGAATGCGCTGCTAATGGGTATGAAGTCACAGTACGTAGCTGGAACTAGTGGGAATGCATCCCTTTGGCAGTAATCAAAATCTCCGATTCTTGATTAATTCAGACAGGACTCTTTATCATCTGTCTGAGTTAGCAAGTCTTTTCTATATTTCTAAGTAGCCTTTTTTTTTCCTTTCCTTCCTGGTTTTTTGCCAAAGGGAAAAAAAATATTGATTTTCTTTCAAATATGTCAGTGTTGTGTGAAGCCTCTAATTGGGGTATGATAACAGCTCCCTGTGTATTTGCAGCCAAGCCCATCTACCTCAAGCTTGAGTTCTACTCACTCTGCTTCACCTAATGTGACAAGTTCTGCTCCATCGAGTGCCAGAGGTCAGTGCCAGAGTGCGGGGGAGACTAATGGTACCCAGAGAACCTTCTAGCCCTCAGAAATTGGGGCTTCAGTTTCCTAAACTACGGCAGCTGCCGCACACTCAGGTTCGCTCCTCCAGACAGGTCCAACGCCACCACCGCGCTGATGATTCTTCTCTCCTTCTCTTCCCAGCTTCTCCTTTGTTGTCTGACAAACACAAACATTCCAGAGAAAACTCCTGCCTGTCCCCAAGAGAGAGACCATGCAGTGCCATCTACCCAACACCGGTGGAGCCTTCCCAGGTACTCATTGTGGGATGGGGAGACCAGAAAACAAGGAAAAGTCTAATGGCTCACCTGTCTCTGCAGAAACACACTGTAGCTGCCAAAAGCAACCAGCAGTGTCAGATAAGTCCAGCCAGGTGAAGAGTGCACCTCTCTTCTCAGCCCTTTGTTAGGAATTTCTATCTGAGCCGTATTTCTGACAGGGACACATGGTCTGTCACCCGAGCAGCAAAGCTGAAAGGGAAATAGGAAATTTCCTCCTTGATCTGACTCCATATTTTATTGCTGCCACTTAAATGTGTCAAGGGATGGTTGGGTGAATGAAACGTCTGTGTGTGTGTGTTTGGATGGGTGTGTGGCAGAAATCCAGGGGAACTTCTTACATGAGCAAAAGAGCCTTGAGGAGAAGCATGCTGCTGCCCCGTAGCCTTTCCTTTTGCCTGTACCTATTGCAGAGAGCCGCCATCGAGTCCTCTCTGAGGTACGTGCTAGCGCATGAGCAGTTGTTGTCTGCCTTTGCCATTCTTCGTGAATTCATTGAGGAAAGGGTGGCTGAGTCCTCGGGCTTTCCCTGTCAACTCACGGGAGTGAGGGGACGTGGCCCTCACCCTCCACCTGAACTTGGTTTTGAAGTGAGCCCTCTTAGTAGGAGTGAAAGCGGGGCCTGACCTTGGCCCTGGGGCAATGCGAGGGCTTTGAAGGGTGGTTTCAAAGTTGAAGATTCGTGTGTAGCCCCGAGTGTGACTGATTACTTGGGAATAATTTAGGAGTGGAGAAAAATAGTTATTTCTACTTCAGCTAATTTCTGTTTTTCTGCACCATCCTGGCAGATGTCTGTAGCTGCATCTGGAAGTGGATGAGAGTGAATTGGGATTGGCTTGAATGGTTTATCTTTGCTGACTGTGTGATCTTCCCGAGAGTCCCGGGATACCTCCTCTGTGCAACTCTGGTGTCTTGCAGAAATTATATCCAAGTGCATTTGGCAGGACCAGCCAACCAGTGTTATTTCCCTTTGTCACTTGAACTTGTGAGGAAATTTCCCCATTTCTCCATCTGCTCCAGGAGAGCATGTTGCCAGCATGGTGAACTCTGAAAGCCTTCCCTGGTTGGCCTCCCAAGTTTTCTGCTTCTGGTAAAATCGGAAGCAGTGTGTGTGTTGCCAAAATTTCAATAATACACATTGCTATAGCACATCTACTTTTAAGGACTTGGCACTTTTTCTTTTAATATACATAGTAGTACCATGTAAAACTGGCATTTTTATAGGTTAAAAATTGTAGAATATTGACCATTTCATATGTTTTTTGCCTAATATAGGATTTGAAAAATATTTTATTTTTAAAATTGACATATAATAATTGTACATATTTATGGGGTACATAGTGACATTTTGATACATATACTGTACAGTGATCAGATCAGTATAGTTAACGTATCCATCATCTCAAACATTTATCATTTCACTGTGTTGGGAACAGTCGATAATACAGGATTTTAAACGTGCAGGGGTTAAAGTCCATGCAGTCATGATTTTTTGACCTTTCTCCTTTGTTACTTGTGTTTCATATTGCCAGTCTGGCATTTGCATTTATAAAGAACACCATAGTTCAGCTACTATTTACTATTAATATTTACTTTTTACCCCATATTTTATTATGAACATTTATTTATCATTGATATTTAAAATTAATACAAACTTTTCAAACATTGTGTTCTCTTTCTTAAAACCTAAAGCTCTTCTCCCCTTTTTCCTTAAATATAACTGAATTCTTTGTTCCTAGGCTCATCATACCATATAAAATTATTTTGAACAAAAAGTTTCACTGAGAAGATAATCATCTCATATTCTGAAAGGTCTCATATGTCAGTATATTGCATCGTAAAAATAGACTCTTGTACCTTTCCAGAGGATGCTGTTTAATCATATTGGAGATGGGGCCTTGCCACGCAGTGACCCAAATCTTTCTGCACCTGAGAAAGGTGGGTATCAAGCCAGCCCCTTTGTCCGCCCTGGAATGTGTAAGGGTTTGTTTTGTCCTCATTTTCTCAGTCTTCCATGTATCTGTGTGGAAGGCAGGGCTCCAGAACTTTGATGATCAGGACTAGGGGATTAATGAAAGACAGTCATTTATGATCCATTCTTCAAAAATTGTTTTCTTATAAGATTTACCAGCAGAATCTGAGCAAGTTAGGAACTCTTCTGTTTAATGACTTCTTGTTGTCATTCAGCAAATCACCAAAGCAATGTCCACTCTTCCTGAAATGAAGTTGCCAATTAGGCTCCTTATTCAGCATGATGAAAATAACATCTTCCCAGATTGATTCTGTGGTCCCATCCTTTGTCTCCCTCACAAAGCTCATTCAGCCAGCTCATCTGTTGTGTGTGGTGACTCAGATACAGCTCTTGTACAAGTAAATACCATTTAAGAATTGCAATCCAGTGCATAATGGAGTGTGCCCTGCCTCAAGGTCACACAAAAAGGAGAACCAAACCCATGCATAGCAGTAAATAGCCAATTAGTATCAGTCTATGCAGCACGGCAGAGGATGAAGAGCAGATTAAATGCGACTTGCTCAACTACAGGGGTGGGGGCTTGCAGCAAGTCACTCATTTGCCTGTCCCAGGGGCGAGCCTCAAAAATAGGAGTGGTTGCCCAGGCCAATGAATCAAGAGTCGCTAATGACAAATGCTGGGCAAGTGTACTTTAATTGCCCTCATTAAGAACTAGACTGTATTGTCATTTGGGTACCCTGATACATTAACATTAAAACCTTCCTTGGGAGATGGAAATGAGTGAGGCCTTAGCCAAAATCATTTTAAAACACAAATTCAGCTTTAATGTTACAAGTCAAACGTTGATCTTTATCAGTAGAATTTAGGAATGCCGTATTTTTCTCATCCCGGATTTTAAGAGTGGTGACACCATCCCATTAAATGAAGGTGGTCGTGGTAAAATGTTGAAATCCCTGGCATGTCCATCAGATGGCAATGTCTGCATAGGAAGTAAGCCGCTGGAGCTCCAAGACTTGTAAACCTATTTACACAGTGGCTGTTTACAAACTGTGTGTTCTGCCCTTGTTCCTAACAGGGTTGCTGCATTATTTCTGCATCTTACTGAAGCATAGAGCAGACAGGTTACAAAATAAGAATGATACGTTTGGTATTCCAACTTAGTTTTTTAGGATATACTTCAGTGTAATCCATGGATTTCAGAAATAAGAGTTCTTTCCTCAAAGACTTGGTCAATGAGATGATGTGGCATGACTGTTCTTTCCCAAGAATTCTGCCAAATAATTGAAATATTAGTATGTCATTGCCTGCTGTCTTTTCAGGTGCCACTTGTCCAGAAATTTCCACTGAAAACCAAGTTTTAAAATAGTCTAGTGACCATGTCTTCTATCTGTTATCCAGAATCTAAACACACTTGTAATTCTCAACAAGTTTCTACACTCCGTTATAGAGATTTGTAGTTCTGTTTGACAGCTCAAGAGAAATAAAGAGATGTGCTGTCACCCAATTAAATGTCAGCTATCACTGGAAGGTAGCCAATTAAATAAAGGTTTAGTATTCAAGAGGTTTTCTGTTTGGGTTTGTTTTTTTTTTTTTTAATCCAGGTGATCTTTTCATTCTGGATAATTCTGACTTTCTTCTAAGATCTCAAGCATTCTAAGGGCAAAGCTGGACTGTGTGTGTTTAGCTGTGTTATTCCCTTCCAGCTGTGAATCCCACTCCTAGCAGCTGGAGCCTGGACAGTGGGAAGGAAGCCAAGAACATGTCGGATAGTGGGAAACTTATCTCTCCCCCTGTCCCTCCAAGACCCACACAGACTGGTGGGTATTTGAAGCATTTGAATAATCACTTTTATAAAATAACTTTTATTGACTACTCCAACTTGTCCTGAACTCCTCAGAGAAAGGTAGGCATTTGGTTTCTGAGGTAAAAACCTTAGCTTTATAATTCCTTTACAGTGTCCTTGCTCTTTCCTGAACTTCTGTTACTTGGAGTCAAACAATGGTCCATTTCTAATAAACCCCTCAGACAGATTTTATAGGGTATTCTCCTCCAAGGTACCATTCTCAGAATTTGGGGAGGTACCCTAACCTTGCTAGGCCACCAGCATTTTCTCTGTCCTTCGCTTTGAACCCCCTCCTTCTTGTCAACCTCCGCTAACTCAGCCACTTCCTTCAATCTTATTCGGGACTGACGCCAAGGTTTCAGGTTGCCCCTAAATAGGAATTGACTAAGAGTGACGTTGATAGGCTCGTGGGGAATGACTAACCTTACCTCCATTTATCTGTTGCTTTGAGAGGACTGTATTCAAGGGCAGTATTTCTCAAAGGGTTGATTCAGGGTACTGTTTCCCTAGGGTGTGGTAGAAGAAGCAAATTCTCAGGCTTAACCTCAGACCTACCGAAGTAGAATTTTAGTATTCCTGGGGTAAGGCCCTAGAATCTGTATTTTTACCAAACATTTCAGGTGATCCTTCTGCTCACTAAATTTTGAGAATCACTAAAAATCGATCTTAAGAAGTTTCCTTTATGAATTTGTAGCAATAACAGACCCCTTTCATCCTGAACAAGCCATTGCTTAGTGACCTACACTAAGTTTTTAAGAGGGGCCTGCCCTACTTTATTGTCTGCTTATTCCAGTGATGAAGAGAATCTTTTCAGCACTTACATATATCTAGAGTAGGTTTGAAGCTTTACAAATACAACTAGACTAAAAACAAGAGAAAATAAGCCAGGCACAGTGGTTCATGCCTGTAATCCCAGCACTTTGGGAAGCAAAGGTGGGACGAGGAGGATCACTTGATGCCAGGAGTTCAAGACAAGCCTGGACAACATAGCAAGACCCCCCTCTCTACAAAAAAAAATTAAAAATTATCCAGACATGGTGGCATGCACCTGTAGTCCTAGCTACTTAGGAAGCTAAGCCAGGAGGATCACTTGAGCCCAAGAGTTCAAGGCTGCAGTGAGCTATGATTGCACCACTACACTCTAGCCTGGAAAACAGAGTGAGACCTTGTCTCTTTAAAAAAAGAAAAAGTACAACAGAAAATATGACACTGTTTTTTTCATGGATTTTTCCAGATTGATTATTCATGTTTCATTTGCTATGTTGTAACATTTCACCCTTCTTCACCTCTTTTTAAAATAAATTAAGTGCTACCCAATTTGTTCTACACTTGTCAAAGCTAAAAGTCAAGTCACCAATAATTTTTGAAAGACATGTGAGATCTTTAAACAGAACAAGAAATAACTTTAAGCTGCATTAGTATATCAGTGTGCCTGTGGAAGACTAAGACACATCAGCCAAATTGTTTATATTTCATTCACGATGTATTATACACATATATCTCCAATTTAAACCTGGTTGTGTCCCTAAAGTTGGAAGCTTGAAAGCATTTTTTAAGGAATAATATTGATGGTAGTTAGGTTCTTAGGCCAGTTGAAACCTTAAGACAAGGATACTGATGAAACTATTTTAGGTCTCTGGGAAAACGCCTTTCCAGAGAAATCTCTGCGAGTGTGCTCTTAAGCACTGGGGCCACCATGGTAGTTGATGTCAGTGACTGCCTGAGTCAAGAGGAAGAAAGTCTCAAGAAACAGTAAACTCTGACTTTTGCCACAGTTATGGCAGAAATAGAGTGCCCAATCAGGATCAGTTTCTGTCTACACACGTGATTCTCATCCATAATCAGCACCCACAATTGGCAGGATAGGAGAACTAATGCTGGCGTTAGAATGTGGCACGTGCTGACAGCGTGCCCCAGCATGCGAGGGGGAGGCTGCACACCCCACGGTGTGAAAGTGGACCGCTCTTCCTGATCCCTGAGGACCCAGAGTACATGGGCGACCTTACCTTTCTCATGTTAACTGGCAGGGCTGCCATCCCTTCTGCACTGATTGCTCTCATGGTCTGTCCTTATGTCACCATCTGTGGTTATTGTTGTGGGGCTCTGTCACTGTCTGTCTTTCTTCCTTTCAGCCTTTCTGTAGTTTTCTTATGAATTACAAACGTCACTCTGACAGCTGGGAGAGTGACAGCTAATCACAGAGCAAGATAGCCTGGATTCTCTGAAACCTGCCTATGTGGAATTGGGAAATGTGTCTTACCCTCCCCGTGTTGACTCTGTCATGGCCAGCTTCTGCTGTACGCTTTGATCCACAGACGCACACAGGGAGCAGTGCCGTTACACATGCTGCGTCCCAGATGTAGGACTTGGAAATCTAGTGGGAGAAACAAAGAGATGGCTCTTCTTTGCCACAGTGATGAAATCCATAGAGTATCACCACCACAGGACAAAGGGAAGACCTGAGTAGAGGCATTGGGGGGGAAATGGAAAACTGCACACCTCTCGTATGGCCATGGCCAAGGGTTTTCTATCTGTTTGGACAGTATTGAAAGTGTGGAAGGGGGGGCTGAGTGAATATATTCCCATGGACTATTCTAAGCTGCCCAGGTGGCCTTGGTCTTTCCATTGCTGCTCAGGCCAACGTTCCCCAAGGACTACTCCCTAGCACCTCACACCTCATGAAATAGAGAGATCAAGCAGTGGAGAAGCATTTGGACTTTGGGGAAATGGAAAGGACATTGGACCAGTTGAGGGCCCTGTCATTTTGGTCAAATCCTCGTGTATGCCCTGATAACTTTCACTAATCATCTCATGTCTTGGTAATGCCAGGCTTTGTGAGGAACCTGTTTTCGACAGGCCTCCTTTAGTTTCTCCCCTGTCCCTACCCATCCCCCACACCCCCAGCTTAGGAGATCTTTGTGCACTGGATCGTTTTTTCTGGGTTTGTAACACAGAGGGCATTTGCACATAGTCAACTGTCTGGTTTTTCTTAATTGAAATATTCTCTCTCTCTCCATTTACAGCTTCACCAGCAAGACACACGACATCAGTATCCCCCTCACCTGCTGGGCGATCTCCAATGAAGGTACAGCCCCTTCTATAGACTGAGGCCAGAGACTGGCCTAGGTTCCTTTTTTTCTCTGAGACCCATCCCAAGTACATCAAGAGGTGTTTTCATTTGTACAAACAAAGCAAAGAACATATAAAGAAGGGACGGGGGAAGATGGGTAAGAAAGCAACACTGGACTTTCCCCCTGGGGAGCCGCCTCCATGAATGCAGCATTTGTTTTCAGATTATTAGCCTCATTCTCCAAATGGTAGCAATGAGAACTTACGAACTAGAGTCAGTACGTATACTGAATGAGGAAAGATATATGGCCCCAATGTACCTCTTAGGACATTTCAGCCTAGTCTTTTAGTTTAAGGCACATCAGACACCACACACACACACACACACACACACACACACACACACACACACACTTACATTGAAAAACATCAATAGTCAAGATCTATGAAATAGTCTCCTGTGTCTTTTTGCCTGTATCATCAGCCTCACCCATTATGACAAAGCTAATCCCAACTGTCTACCTTTTAATATTTTATGCCAAGGATCTCATTTACATTAGAAATACATACTTGATCATGAAAAACAAGGCAGTAAAATGGATAAAAAAAATTCTGGGGGACAAACTAGAAAGCTTTACAGGTCAGACATTTGTATTGGTATGTAGACATAGTCTATTTAATACCTCTAAACACACAAAATCCCTCATGAAGATAAAGAATAATATTTAGTCTCTATCCAAATTGAATCAGACTGGCTGCAGGGATTGTCAGTACACACGAGTGGTTGGTGTTCAGAGCTGCTGCCCCAGAGGCAACTATGAGGTTGAAGTGAATGTCGAAGTACCTCAGTGACTTTGGATTTACACACACTATGTCCTTTTTGTTGAAGAGATAGTTTCTAGCTAATGTGAAAAAGATAAATTAGCCTCTACAAACACATAGGGGCAGGTTGTGGTCCATTGCATCTGCGGTGCTAACGATATTTGCTGATAGAAATTGAGAAAGTGGAAAACAAATGCAAAAATAATGGAGAAGAATCTCAAAGAAATGCAGCTTCATTTGCGTTGCCTAAATTTCTGATGTAGAAATTTGCTGGTAAGTGCAAATTATTTGCTAGTTTTGTTGTCATCGGCAATGCAGCTGTTATCAGAAAGTGCAGTGACAGCATTCGCTCTAGAAGCCATCAGCTGTCATCTTGATGTGATGGGAAGGAAAACAGCGTGGCTTCTGCACACCTTGACATTTACACTTACAAAGAGCTCCCTCATGTTGCTATGGAATTATCATCTGTGTTTTTCAATTTGATTTTACAGAGTAGTAATAGACAATAATAAGTCTTAGAGATTAATTCTTTATCCATAAAAAGAACCCAGGGGCAGAAAATGTTTGAGTAGCTACCAAGTAGTTCTAGTTAGCACGCCATCTCTCTGCAGACCTGCATATATTTTAACTGGCCATATGCAATCTGAAGCCATGTCTTTACAAATGGAGTTCGAAAGAAGAGAAAATAGATCAAATATTTGTGTTATAACTTCTGGGTTACGTTAGGGGGCACACTGCTACCGAGTTATTATACTAGCTTTGCAGTGTGCTGCCTTAACTGACAGAATTTAGTGGGTTTTTTTTTCAGCAAGTAAATGATAGATTTAACCCTACAGAGAAGACTGAACTGAACTGCCATATTTTGAATTTCAATTCTAATTTTTAACAAAGACAGCAGTGAATTGGGGTCTGTTAATTGGCCTTGCTTAATTTTAGGCTCCTATTAAATGAAAGGATTTGTGTCTACCAGCATTATTTTATTTAAAAAGAGAGACCGCAGCAAAGCTAGCCTAGGCCAGCATTTCTCAAAATGTGTTCTATAGAATATTAGTTTTCTAGGATATTATGTGATAAGTGAAAAAATGGTCTGTAGTCAAATAATTTGGAAAACACTGGGCCGAACAAAGTTATTTAGGTTTCTTTATTGTAAGACTTTAACATGCTAATATGGTTTGAATGTACACTATATAGTGTGTAGCATTTCCTAGTGGAACCCTCGTTTCACAGAGCATCTCTTTAGGACTCATTTTCTTCAGGATCCCAGTTGGGAAAGCAAGAATTCAGATGCCAGATGGGTCAGAGAGCTGACATAAATGAGTGAAGGAGGTTGGGTGGAAACATGTGGACAGGCAGGAACTGTGGTCAGCTGAAGAATTCATGCCCCATCTAAAGGAGACAGTCCCCACTCGGCTTCAAAAGATTATCTCCATTAAGAGAATGTGTGCCATTGTTGCCAGAACTTCTAGTTCTGAAATGTGAGAAATCTGGAGTTTTATGTGGAATTTCCCTGTTCTTACAAATTAGGAACTAAATCAGGTTTTCACTGCAGATGAAAAGGCTCACATCTCAGGCCAGAGCCCAAGCACTGCCAGCTTGCAGCTTCAGCTCAGGGGTCGGCAGCGGGGGAGTGTCCCACCCAGATGTCCACAGCTGCCCTGCATCCTGCCCTGCCTTCTCAGCTCATGCCCTGCTGAGTTAGGAAAGTGAAATAGCACCCCCAAAGCTCCTCTCACCAGTTCCCTCTCTTTCAAACTACAGGACTAATTGCATGCCTCCAAATTCTCTTGTTGATTACTTTTATCCTCTATCTGAAAATGATAAGGAGTAAAGGGGGCAGTGAGCTGAACATAATTACCGGTGGGCCTAGCAGATACAGGTCTGTTGTGTATTTTAGTGCTACCAATGACTGCACTCAAATTTGAGTCTGGGTGTGTGTATTAGTCCGCTCAGGCTGCCCTCACAAAACCCCACAGACCGGGTAGCTTTAACAACAGGAATTTATTTTCTCCCAGTTCTGGCAGCTAGCCATTCAAGATCAAGGTGTCCTTGGGCTTGGTTTCTCACATGGTCTTTTTCTCCGTGTGCCCACATTCCTGGTATCCCCTGTGTGCCCAAACCCCTCTTCCTATAAGGACACTAGTCTGATTGGACTAGGGCCCACCCTAACGGCCTCATTTTAATTTAATCAGCTCTGTATCCAAATACAGCCACCTTCTGGGGTCCTGGGGACCAGGCTTCACCGTGCGTGGACTTGCGGGGAGGGGCACAGTTCAGCCCATCTCGCCGGCCCTGACGCTGCCGTCTGTCCCCTCCATGTTCCGTGGCCGCAGGGCTCCGTGCAGTCCTTCACGCCCTCTCCAGTGGAGTACCACTCGCCAGGACTCACCTCCAACTCCCCCGTCTTGTCGGGCAGCTACAGCAGTGGCATCTCTTCTCTCAGCCGGTGCAGCACGTCGGAAACCTCAGGCTTTGAAAACCAGGTGAATGAACAGTCGGCGCCCGGGCCGGGGCCGGAGGAGCCGGTGCGCAAGGAGAGCAAGACGCCACCGCCCTACAGCGTGTACGAGCGGACTCTGCGGCGCCCGGTCCCGCTACCTCACAGCCTCTCCATTCCCGTGGCCGCCGAGCCGCCCGCCTTGCCCCCCAAGCCTCTGGCGGCGCGATCGGGCCACCTGGAGAACGGCACCCGGAGGACTGACCCCGGCCCGCGGCCCAGGCCCCTGCCCAGGAAGGTCTCCCAGTTATAAGTCACTTTTCTATGTACCTGTGACGAATTCGTTGCCCGTTTACAAATATGATGAGAAGACATTTAGTGTAGGCACTTTAATAACTTACTCAGATCTTTCTTTCGGTGAATGGAATTAAAACTTGCTTATTAATATAATGTTGCACAATATTAAAAAGTTACTGATCTAGAACGCCAGCTGTTAAATGAAGTATGGCTGAATTTCATTCAAGCGTTTCTCACTTGAAAGTGGTAAATAGGGATAAAGACTCCTTTTGTACCTTTTTATGTTCACTTTTTTTACGTAGTTTAATCTTAAAACCAATACGATGTTGTCAAACAATGCAATGCGTGATAACGTTGTATACTTTTTACTGAATACTTGATACTCCGAGAAAGCTTATTAAGGCAGTGCGCATCCTAACACAATGGTCCTTACTTTAGACTTCTGTAAATAAGGCGAGGTTTCTGGCCCTGAGCGGCATGATCAATGCAGATCATCAGAATTAAAGGTTAAAGCAGGCTAGTTAGACAATATATGTACTTAAGGGGTTGCAAAGGATTGAGACTGAAATTGTTTTGTTCTTGAAGCAAAGTACTTATATAAGGTTGCTTTCGCTGTTTGACCGCTGTCTACATTCTTAAAATTCTACTTTGTGAATTGGTTGCTAAATCCTTTACTACCCTGGCACCATGGTATCTACTGTATTTCTTTTCAAGGTGCAATTTGCTTTCAGAGTTCCAATCAGCTAGATTAAGCAAGAGACTCCAGGAGAAATGTTTACTTGAATTTTGTGCTTCCTTACTTGATAGTTTGCTATATAAAATTTGTCATTGAAGAAGAGCAGATGTTCAAGTGTTAAATAGGCACAAATTACTGTGTCCCATTAGCAAGAATTCAGGAATCGATACAGGACAGTATTAAATCAATAGTGTAAATGAAGTAAAAACCTTGGTGAAAATATATTAGCATGATTAAATGGCAAAAAGACTTACAAAAGGCAAGGGCATTAACTTTCAATTCTGCACAAAATAAAAAATTCCTCACAACTCTCCATTCTTACCAGTGGAGCTTGTCTTCTTAGCTGACCTGTTGTCCTTTGGTTGAAGGAGGATAGCCGTAGACTGCTCTAGCTTGAGTATTGCAACTTAGCATCTTAGATCTAGGTAGGGATGCTAATGCCACAGTTGTAGGAGTGTGAAAAGAGCACCTTGTATGTAGTAATGTATTTTGTATCTTTGTTTTTTCTTTTACTGACTGTTTATAACACTCAATTGACAATAGATACGAGCTGTATTTTAAATCATACTGTTAAATATTTTCCCTCTTTTGTTGGGAAGCTCATTTTAGTTTAACCGTGTTTGTTTTGTTGATAGCTTACCTGGAAGGCAGTGACCACTTTTTTATATTCTCTTAATGAAACCATTCAGCAGGTATACGCTGTTGAGGCTGGTTATAGAGGTTTTCTATAATAAATGTTCAAGTATTTTTGTATATAACTGGTTAATTTTAATAAGAGAGACCATTATGTGTAAAAAAAAAAAAAAGTAAAAAGTAAAGCAAACAGTTGTGGATGCAGTATGATTGTTATAATTATGCCAAATACTTTATGTATGGAAAAAGAATATTTGTACATATGTGCTTTTAACAATAATTCTGCCATATTGACTTTACAATTTTGAATGTTGGAAAAATTAATATATGTTAAATATTTATGTTTAGTGAAAGTGTTCATAATTGAGAAAAGGAACATATGCATTTTAGCTTTGTATCTTGCAAGTTTTGCAGTCAGAAATTTTTTGAACTAGCTTTTGCTTTTGATGATAACACTTTGTGTTTGTAATCACATTCACATATATATACACACATACATATATAAAGCTCCATTTTCTGTTGCTTTAAAGAAGTAAAACCTTCCATTTCAATAAGATGACATGCATAAGATAACAAAGCTTCTTTGATTTCCTTTTCCTGTGTAATTTAATAGATTTGTTGACTAGTGCTTGGGCACAGTATAAATCAGTGTTATTTGCTCTTGAAGCCATTTTTTTAAAAAAATTTTTGGCAGTGAGCAGTTGAATTTATCATGTGCGTGTATTTCTGAAGCAGCTACATAGCAGATCATTTCAGGAGATTCTGTTAGCTCAGATGTTCATGTTGGTTGCTGCTGAATGGTAAATATTAAATAAAATTACCAGATTAATCTTAATATTTCTGTCTTTATTCTGGTCATCAGCATGTCTTTACCTGGAATAGAAGCTGTATAAATCCCTTGGTCTTATCATAGTGAGATTTTCAGACTTCTTTGTTGATAGATCCTGATTTTTTTTTGTTGTGCCCATTTTGATACACTTCATTCTCACTATAGCTCATTTATGCCTTAGAGAACAAAGATTGAAAGGTAACAAACAGTATGGGTTAATATCCCATGGAGAAGGTAACATTAACCTGGTTGGCTAACCATTCATTGGCCTAACCAGAGCCAATTTAACAAGTCAAGCCATCAAAATTTGATTGCTTTAGAAAACCTGACACAAAACAGGTAACTGTACAAGGGAGTAGTTGAATGCTACCCTTGCCAGCTGTGGCAAAATCTATCCACATGCCAGCTTTTCTCCCTGGTTTTCATGAAATGACAGGAAATACATTTGACAAACACTGCTGTGGGGGTGAGGGGATACTTCCCCTTCACCCCGGAAGGTCAACTCACAATAAGGCAGATTAATAAGAGAAAGAGATTTATTTACCATACACAGGGGGAGAATCACAGAGTGATTACCTAATATCCCAATGGGGTCCAGAGTTTTTATACCCTCATTTTAGAGGGAAGTGGGAGATGAGGAATATAGGTAATTCTGTTTAGGGGCAATAAATGGTTACTAGGGAGGATGAATAGATACTTGGGAGAATGAACAGATGGGGGGAAATAGATTGACTTGTAAATGATTCTCTTTGGAAATTAACCTGAAAGAAAGGTATTATCTGTAAAATGGGTTGGCCAGCTCTGGTTGCATCCTTGATCTTCTTTCCTGCAATATATTGAGATAACCAGGAGGGGAAGGAAAGGCAATTGTTCTTTTGGATGAATCTCTGTGATTTTATACAGTTAGAGGGAAAGCCCCTTCCAATGCCTATTGATCTCTAAGGGCCTTTAATTCAAAATACTCTTTATATCAAAGGGGCATATTTTGGGGCGAAAATCCTTAAGCTCCTTCACTGCAAAATCCATTGACTACAAGCTTTCTGTTAATAAAGACTGGCTTTTAATTTGGTGAAATGTGTCTATGCTGTGTTAGTTTTAGGACATTTATGTAAGGAATCTATTGTCTAAAGCTTCTGTCCCATTAAATAGCAAAACCCATTTAAAGGCCATTGTCAATGTCCTCCTGATTGTTTCTCAGCATTAACTAAGTGACTTTAGAGCATTTTTGGATCACTTTCATTACAACTGTATTTCCATTCTACAAGCATAATTACAATACGAATAGCTCAGTTTCCTATCTAAGTAGGCTTCTTCCTTGATTGTTATTGATTGTTCTACAAAACACAACAGAGAATAACAAGTTGCATAGTTTTGCCGTTATCTAATCTTTACACATTAAAAGGTGGCTTGTACCAAAATGTATTCTTGGTTATCGAAGTAAGGCTTGCCCTCATCGTATAAGAATACCATAAAAAAGTTTTGAAAAATTGACAAAATATCAGTCCCTTAACATAACTGTTATTATTTTTTACATATCCCTTTGTCTTTTTCTACATGTATATATTACATAGTTTTTCTACATTGTTGACTGCTGGTTCCTCAAATACCACCAACACAATCTGTTGACAATACAGAGCTGAGTTAATTACTCACTGTCATAAGAGAGACCCATCTGTTGGTAGTATCTTAGAAGCGGAAGGGGATGGTCAGATTTTGTTTAAATTTCTGAGTTTTGTTTAAAGGAAATCTTTCCTTAAGTAGGATTGAGTAAAGATCATAGTGTGATTGCTTAGGACTGGTAGAAACAGCAAAGTAAGGATTTTGAGTCTAGGGGTTCAAAGAGTTGTAACACAAACTATCAATTGGCAATTGATGCTTTTTGTTTAAAAGTTGATGGGTCTGTTGACAACTTCGTGTTAAGAAGCATAAAGTTATTTGGGCAAGAGACTCCTGGAAGATTAAAGGTATGCTAATGGATATTGGAATAGTAAAGTTATGTTCATGTAGACATAGGCCGTATGGGTTGATGGTTTCAATTCTCAACATGTATGTTTTACGTGTTATAATCACAATGTATTCAGACAACTCTTATTTTCATATTATTACATGTATGTAAAAAGCAAAGAATATATTCCACATTTTATTTAGCTATTTCCCTATTAATGGGCATTATTATTTCCAGTTTTTCAGTACTACAAATAACACCACTGTGACCTTCTTATGTACAGCTTTTTCCATGTTTTACATTATTTCCTTAAAATGGATTCCCAGATTGAAATTGCCAGAGCAATGGACTGATGGTTTTTGTAGTTCTTTTGTGTAGGAGGGGAAAGAAATAATTTTCCCCCTACCCTTTATAGTTCTTAGCTGGGACCCCTGTAACAAAACGACAGATTAACAAGAAAAAAACAAGTTTTATTAACATGTACACCTCATGTATACCTGGGAGATACCCAGGGGAAAATGAGTTAATCTCAAACGTGGCTTAGAATTCAGGCGTAAATTCCATCTTCAGCTAAAAGCAAAGAAAGAAGAGGTGGGAGAAGGCCAGTTGTGGGGAGGTAAACAAGAGTATGGGTTGTTATGCAGACTGAAGTCAGTGCTTTCTCCATTGAGAAGAGTCTCCAGTGATTTAATCATTTTTTCTTCCTAGCACAGAGAGGAAGCTACCCTTACAAATGGAGATTTCCTTTATAGATGTAAATTTCTCTTACAAAAGGGTAACTTCTACCCTGTTTTCTGAGCTTCTCCTGTGCCTGCTCTTACTCAAAAAAATCCTTATACCAGAGGGGCATATGTTGGGGTGGTATATCCTGGTCTCTATAAGAATATTGGCAAATTATTTCCCAAAAGTGTTATGTCAGCTTTAGTGCCACCAGCAACATATTTTCATGGTAATTTTTTCAAGATTACATATCGATGTGCTATTTTGTTTTTTTGTTTTTTGCTAATTTAATATTAATATGTGGTAAGAAAATATTGCTGC